CCCAGATTAACCCGTAGATTCAATACAATCCAGCACATTTTAAATTTTTTTTATAAAAATTGACAAGTTGACTCTAAATTTATATGGAAATGGAAAAAAACATAAAATAGCCAAAATCATCTTAGAAAAGAACAAAGTTAAAGGACTTACACTATCTGACTTCAAGACTTTACCATAAAGCTACGGTGCTCAAGATAGTGGTGTGACCAGTAGGACAGGACAGATTAATCAAAGGATCAGAAAAAAGTGCCCAGCAATAGATCCATACAGATACGGAAACTCATTCTCCACAAAGGCACCGACATAACTCAATGAGGGAAAGGACAGTCTTCAGCACATGGTGTTGGAACCACGGGATATCCCCATGGGAGGAAAAAAATGAACCTCAACTCCTCCTTTCCAACATATACAAAAACCGATTCCTGATGGATCATAAACCTAAACATACAAATTCAAACTACAAAGCTTCTAAGAGAAAACATATTACCCTTCAAATATGTATAATCAATTATATTTCAACTTAGAGAAAACATAGGAAAATACTTTCATGACCTTGAAATAGGTAAAGATTTCTTAAATAGGCCACAAAAAGCACTAACCATAAAAGAAAACATCGATAAACTGACGTTACCAAAATTTAATCTTCTGATCTTCAAAAGACATAATTAATAAAAAGAAAAGCCAAGCCACCAACTGAGAGAAAATATTGCAATAGATATCTTTTAAAAGAAAATATAGCCAAAAAGTACATAAGACGCTCTATCTCATTAGTCAACAGAGAAATGCAATTTAAAATACTACAAGAAAACACTTCACAATGGCTAAAATTAAAAGACTTGACAATATCAAGTATAGGTGAGAAAGTAACTGGAACTCTCATACAATCCTGCAGAAAGCTTCTCCCTGAGAAGCGGTGACACTAATACTGCAGTCTGATCCAGGCAGTTCAAGCAGACCACATAGACTTAACAAACTATGCCTATGCCGTTCTCCGTGGCACCCCCAACACCTGCACTTGCAGGCTCTCCTACATTCACTGAAGAGATGAGTTCACCTGGGAATTTGTTGATTGTGGATTAAGCTGGGAACCCCTTATTTAGATCTGCATTGGAAAATATAGCAACTTCCAGACAGCAGCATTTCACGATTTTGCAAAAATGCCCCCCAATTTGTGAGAAAACATAGGGTTGCCAACTTTTTATTTTGCAAGATAAGAGTATATTTTTTTAATTTTATTAAAATAAAAACTAAAAAGGCTATCTCATAAGCTATTCATCATTTCAAAAATTAAAGCTCTTTTAACTCTTCCTGCCTCCCCCCCCAACAAAAAAAGAGGAAGAACATAGTCTCAAATTTTTTAAAAGAATAATAAATTTAGTTATGTGAGAAATCAACTCTGCTGTCATTCTTTTTCTCATTTTGCCACATATTGTAGTCACCACTTAGAGATCCATTCATGGGTCTTCTGAGATTTTCTAATATGAATCTCTAACAAGTCAGTTTGGAGCACTCAGACAGAAGACTTGTCCCAAGACAAAGTTTAGGAATCAGTAAGCTTGCTCAGAAGTGGATTTTTTAAAGTTGCTACTCATAAATCAAGCTATGACCTTGGTGTATCTTCAAGCAGCAGGCAGTAGAGAAAGCCAGTGAGGAAAGAGCTCAGCAAAAATCAGGGACACTGGACCCAGGCTAGAAAAGTCACACCGAGAGGGACTGCTGGAGTTTGAGGGACGTCAGGGAGTGTTTCAGTGGTGAACTTTAAACAGCAGTTTTTAAAAATGCACAATTCCTGGAAGGTGCATGATCGAGCTAAATGGACCAGGAAGATAAGATGGAATAGACATTATGAATGAATGTGAGTGATTCAAAGTCAGAAGGAGGAGATAAAATAGGGCTTAAATCAGGCCGGACTTGATGGGAGCTGGGATTGAGGCATATCAGTGAGTGTTAGATGAGACTAGGAAATGCCCTCCCCTCCGTGGGCCTGAGGACAGGAAAATGGACAAAATCTTTACAAAGAAGTGAGGGAGTGAGCAGGGACCTGTGGAGGAGGGGCTGCAAAGTGAAGGGGCTGGAAGGTGCAGGCAAAACCCACAGTCCAGGGAGGTGCAGGGCAAGGCTAAGCCAAGAGCGAGAGCGGGAAGGCAGAGGGCAGATGCGGGAGGAGAAAGAGCAGGAAGAAAAGGGAACAGGAGTGGAAAACAATAAGGAGGGAGCAGTGGTTTTAAGGGTGGGGCAGGGGCTTGGGAAAAGGAAGGAGAAGAGGCAACACAGAAGTGAGGAAAGCAGGCAGACCCTCCAGTGGCACGGCTGCGGCCCAGGACCCTGTGAGCACCGCTGGGCTCCACGCTGGGGGACACGCTGCCATGCACCGATGGGAAAGATGCACCAGCTTTCAAAAGGACATCCAGTCACTGGGAAACATCTTTTGCTCCTCTCAGCAGCAGCCTCTTCCTCCACCTGCTCAGTCAAGTCCCCAGCCCACTACAGAGTTCACCTGTTCAGGTCTGAGCAGCCAGTTAGTCTTGCTTCCCCTGCTGGGCCATCCCCTCAGACTCTGGCCTGCACACCTCTCATTACCCCTTCTGTAGATTTCCCTGGCAGCTCACGGCCCTGCAGCCTTATCTCCCCGGCTCCCCTTTTTAACCCTGGCTTCTACTGGCCAGCTGTTCACCGTTCCCCTTCCTGGAAGTCCTATATTCGACTTTCAACCACTGCTCGAGGTCAACTCAGGTCGTCCTCCTCCAGGGTCCCTTCTCGGTGTTCCAAGCTAGGTGACCTCTCTTCTTCATGCTTTTCTTGAGTGCTATCTGCCAAGTTCATCTCTACCACTCACCACACAAACCACCTTCTGCTGGTCTCCCATCACGTGTAAGCATCGTCTGGGAGGTTGGGAGGACTCACATCTCGGTGACACTAATACTGCAGTCTGATGCAGGCAGTTCAAGCAGACCACCTAGACTTAACTCACCACAGCTCCCCTCACCAGGAGGCCTCACCGAGGCCCTTCATAGCAGAGGAGCTTACTAAGACCAATTAATGACGCCGAGGTGCAGTGGGCTCCACTGAGACAGGGTCCAGTGAAGCTTGAGAGATGTGCAGAAGGAGGGTTAATCCAGGGGTTCTCAAGAGGGAGGAGGTAGGTACACTGCCCTGGGGAGATATCAGAATTTCAGAGGAAAAGTAGAAAACACAGACCAAAAGGGACCATGGGTTTTAAAATACTTAGAAACCTACATCTAGACTGGATTCTCAAGCTGGATTTCTCCAGACGCAGAGGAAGTTACCACCTTCTGAACACCAGAGAACGCCGTTAAGGAGTCAGGAGGCTCACCCTCCAGAAAACAGGCTGCAGCCCCCGTCCTTCAGGACAGCCCAGCGGTGCACCTCTCGCTATGTCTCATCGCTGCCGTGATCACAGCGCAACGGACATCGAGGTAAAGGGATGCCATGTAATTCCAGGCAGGAATATTTTATTCCATAGTGAAGCCCAGATGTATTCTAGGAGAATTATTATACACACATGCACACGCACACAGAACTGAGCCCCAAAACTGAGCCTAAAACTTCAACTGGGATTTAGAAGAAAAAAAAAAGCACTAATTTACAGTCCCACCAACAGTGTAGGAGAGTTCCTGTCTCTCCACATGCTCACCAGCATTTGATATTGTCAGTCTTTTTGATTACGGCCAGTCTAACTGGGGTGAGATGATATCTCAATGTGGTTTTAATTTGCATTTCCCTGATGATTAGTGATGTTGAGCATTTTTTAAGTACCTGTTGGCCACTTGTAATCTGATCATCACATCTTAGGCACAAGTGGTGTTGGTCAGCTTTGTACCCCACAAACATGCATAATCAATAGAAAAAAAAAGAATAGAAAAAAAAGCAAAAGCAAAACATGGAGTTTGCTCCCTTCTAGTCAAGGTGGAATGTTCTCTTTGGGCCATTCTATCAGAAATAGCTGCGTTTCCTATAGACCCATTCACTCCACACACATTTTATTAAGCCACTTTATGACCCACTGCTAAAGGCCACAGAGAACACAGATGCAGACCACTTGTCCCTTGTCCTCCAGAATGTAGGAAGCATCTGTGTGACGTTGTAGCTCCCACCCTGCTCCTCGCCCCTGTGCCCATCCCCTCCAGACCCCCCACCCTCCACTGTGCAGGTCAGTTTCTGCTTCCTGCTGGGCCGCTGCAGCCCTGCCCCGGCTTCACAAAGCTGGGGAGCAGCCCCCACCTCGCACCTCTGACAGATCTATGACTGCGTTTTGTGCATCTAGCTCATGGGAAACGCATCTGACCAGTGTGTTTTCTAAAACAGCAGAAACACAAAACACAGAGTGGGGTTTCAGAAAGAAGCTTAAGCCTCCTCCTGAGCTTTAGGTCCTGCCCTACCCATGTGCGGCTCATAAAATCCCAGTGAGGTGGGCCTGAAAGTCATCATTTAAAAAATGCCAGTTTTCATCTACCAAACTAAAAATCATGACTCCACTGCTCAGAACCCACCTTAAGGAAGTACTCAGCACAAACATAGTCGTCATGACTTGGCAATAACAGGGTGAAATATTTTAAACCACCTAAATGTCCAATAATAAAAGTTTGGCTGTATGTGTTGAGGCACATCCATCCAGAGGAATATCATATAGAGCCTTGCACACAGTGTCTGATAAATATTTGTTGACTATTTTTTAATATTTTCAAAGAATAGTAGAGATGCTTCTTAAAATATTGTATAAAAAAGGATACAGAACTGTAAATACAGTATCATAAGCCTCCCAAACACATTTTTAAAACTCAGGAAGAAAATGTTTAAAATTTTCAAAACTAAACTGTAATTATTTTTGAGAGATGCAATTTGGGTGGTGACCTTTAGTCTCTTTTTTATAGTGGTCAAATGTTGTCCGTAATCAGGAAATAATGAAAAATTTATGTAAAGACCCCACTGCTTGGGTCCTGCAAGCGTCCAGTCCACCCCTCGGTCCCCGCCTCTCTTACCGGGGGGCAGGCCTCACAGGTGGTCTTCCTGCACTCCAGCTTGAATGCAGAGATGGTCCCCGCCTGCACGGTGCAGCGGCAGGTTGTGCACACATCAATCATCACAGTCTTCCCGGGCTGGAACCAGAGGCACTGGGTCAGGCCTCCCCGGCATCCCCAGACCCCCAGCCGCCCACTCACAACATCCTCACTAGCATCACCTGCCTACCCACCCGCAGCCCCACGAGCCATCCCTCTGACATGCAGGGGGCAGTGGGCAGGGGGACAGACTTAAATGTGCACAGTGACTCCAGAGTGTTTCTCTGGATGCAGAAGAAATGCCCAGGTGCCCGGAGTGGGTGCCGGCAGGTGAGTGCCCAACAGCGGGGCCCAGGCCCGAGAGAGCTGGGAGCCAGTGGCCCTGGCCTGGGCCCCGGGATGCTGGAAGCCTGCCGGCCGAGAACAGTGCATGGGGGAGGCTCTCCTGGGCTCTTCACAATGACTGGGCTGCCCAGCCTCCCGCAGCACCCTGCCCTGCCCCCCAGTCCCCCGGCTCTGCAGAAAAGGGCAGCAGCTCACCTCCACGGTGGTGCCATTGAGCACACAGGCCTCCACGGGCTCTGGGGGAGAGAAGCACAGTGGTGAGTGCAGAACGCGGCCGGCAGAACAGGGGCTCTCTGCCTGCCTGGGCCTCTCTCCCAGGTCTGCTGGTCCTCCCCGACCCCACCCCAGGGCACTGCAGGTCCTACTGCCACAGCCCTCGGTGGTCTCCCTTCCCCAGACTTGCCAAGGAAGGGCAGGGCTGCCCGGTTCCTCCCCGCAGCCCGCAGAGACAAGAGCCTTTTACGTGCTTGAGGGGACATGCTTGTTTAAGGGAATTTACGTTTCAGGGATGAGTGGGAGGATGTTTGGGTTTGTGAAAAAATGAAATCCTACTCTTGGAACTTTCAGTCCCAAGAGAAAGTCACACGCAGAATTGAGAGCAGGCTGGTGGGGGCGCTGGCTTTTGTCCTGGTTGCTCTTTGCTTATCTGTGTGTTCGTTGGCAGGGTCAGGGCGGCAAGACAGAAGAGGCGGTCTCCCGCGTCACAGCGCCTGGCTCCGAGCCCAGCTGTGCCTCTCACTAACGTCTCAGGAGCACAGGGAGGAGTGACAGTGCCCGCCTCACAGCGGGGGCGTTGTGAGGATTAAACGAGGTCGTGGTGAGAAGCCAGCTCTGAGCACAGTGCTGGGCACAGTGACCGTGAGGAAACTGCTATGTCTCTCCCACCTCGTTTGCCTCCTCACAAAAGCATTAGGAACACACTGATCTTGCCCATCCCCCTGAGTTGCTAAAAGGCAAAGAATTCAGGAGCCAGCAGTGGAAAGAGGCCTGGAGGGGACCAGGCCCAGACAGCCCCTGGCCCGCGCGCCTTACCGCAGCGACAGCTGGGGCAGCACTTGGAGGTCGTACAGCTCAGCTGGAAGCCTGGGGGGCAGGTAGGCACATCCAGCTGGGGGCAGGAGACGTTTCTCTGTTGCACGAAGACCTCCTCCCGCACTCGCACACACTCGTTGATGAGGCAGGGGTTCTCAGGGGAGGCCCAGTGAGCGCCAACCTGCAGAGCACCAGGGTGGTCAGAGCAGCTGGGGCAGGGCTGGGGCCTGAGATCCAGCGGGAGTGTGCTGTTCAAAGTCACCCTGACCAAGAGTCTAACTCAGTCACGTGTTCTCCTACAGCCACCGCCTTCGGCCACCTGAGCAAGCACCTTAGGGAAGTAGGGGATGCTCCCTCCCATCTCAGCAACGGCTTTTGGGCTGAGCTCAGAGACTCAAGGGCACTGCAACTGAAAAGCACAGCAAGGCTGGCCGAGAGGAGGTGCAGGGAGGAGCTCAACCATCCCCCTGCCTGGTGCTCTTCCCACTCGCACAAGAAGGTGGGAGCTGGCGGGAGGCTGGGAATGCTGGCCTTGGCAGGAGGCTGGGAATGCTGGCCTTGGCAGGAGGCTGGGAATGCTGGCCTTGGGTCCCTACAGCGCCACAATCTGCCCATGCAGCATCCAGGCCACGGATGGGTGGTCTGGCCTTGGGGTTGGCTCCATGGGCAAAGAGCACTGAAAGGGCCCTAAACCATGGTTCAGAGAAGTCACCAGAAGGATCTGCCTGGAAATGGTGTCACGGCAAGTGCCGTCTGTGTAGGCCAGCCTGCAGCTGCACACGTAGGTGCACTGTGCCCACCTGTCTCAGCCCCGGCCTCCTTCCCTTGCTCCTGATCACTTTCTTCTCATTCCAGATGAGGAGCCAAAATGCCAGACACCTGCAGCCTTTCTCTTCACCTCCCACAGACTCATCATGAGCAAACCTGCCCACTGCAGCCTGATTCTAACCTCCAGACCTCTCCCTTCTCTGATTATGTACTCGCTGATCCTGGGCCATGGGATCCATTAAGAGGACCCATTCCCACCCACCCACTGGTCCCTGACATGCTCCCAGCAGCAAAGCCATTACTGACACACAAGTCTCACAGGTAAGACGGAGACTGGAGTTAGAGGAGAGAAGCCCAGCTCCTCACACTTTGCAGACACGGGTGTGGGCAGGGTGTGGGGAGCCCTGAAGGCAGGCGAGAGACGGCAGGCAGTGGGCAGTGGGGAGGCAGGGACACTCAGCCCCCACCAGGATGGAGCAGCCTCTGATCTGAACTGGATCTTGGCCCTGGGGAGAAGGGACAAAACCCAGCTCAGTCCAGGATGGACATGGAAAAGAAAAAGTAAAAGGGCGGGGCGGGGGCACTTGGGGAAGGGAAGTCTGCAGGTAACTCAGACTCAGAGGGGAGGCGGAAACCCATCCGGAAAACCTCAGCGAGTCTTTCTGTTATTACTGAGGAGGAAAAAGGAAGGCAATGGGCCTGGGTAGGAGGTGGGGCAGGTTCAGGGACCAGACAGGCAGCCCTCTGCCTTCCCCCTAAACAAAGTACACTTGGTGTCACTGGAAGGAGACAGAGGGAAGGTCCAGTGGGCCCTGACATTCCTCCAGCACCTGCTTCCGAGGCTTCCAGAGCTTAGCACTACGCACTCCATCCTTCCGACTGGAGTAAAAAGTTACCATCCTAGAATCTGGACTAAAGTTCCCAAGGAGGGAATCTTCTGTGTTTAGGAAAGTGGCTTGATCCGCATCCGGAGTCAGAGTGGGCACCTGAGGGCCACAGAGGAGAAGGCTAAACTACTCAGCTTTAGAAGAAGGGATTTGGCCGGCTTGGGGAGCCAGGCCGGAGGGGACAAGGGGGGTGTAGATGATGGGGCCAGCAACGTGGCAGACGCTACAGCCAGACTTGCAGAAATAGCTGAGGGACTTTGGGAACAGAGACGGCATTTACTTCTCTGGGTTACAAATTTCTCCAGGAAGGTTTCGATGGAAATCAATGAGAAGGCGTAAGGATGCCGCCTGGGCCCGAGTGGTTCAGAACCGTCCCTGCAGCCAGTGGCACATTGGCAGGAGGGGGGCAGGCCCACGATATGAGCAAGATGGTGAGGTCACCTCTCAACCAGCCACTCTAGGGAAGTACGGCCTCGGCCCACAGGTGGACAGGGGAGCACACGTCCCCCAGGAGCTCATAGACTCTTAGGGAGGACGCTGGGCTTCTCCCAAAATCCACAGAGTGGGAAGTCTGAGGCAGTCTTAACTAGTTCCTAAGGGGCAAGATCATTCCCAC